TCTACATGTAAATTCAGAATAATCAAAGATTTTCAGAATAATTAAAGATTTACATAAGAAAAAAGAAAAAAAAACAGACAAACAAGTCTTCTATGCCCTGTAAATTATTTTTATATTCTTTTTCTTTAATTTTTTTATTAATTACATGTAATTTGTTTTTTGTCTACTGATATTTCTCTTTAAGGCAGACGTTTAAACGACAGATCTACAATTTTAAAAATAAGAAACAATGTACATTTCTTATTAAAAAATAAAAATATAAGCGCGAATAGTCATATTTTTTCTATAGATCAATCAATTAAAAATAATTTATATACGTGTGTAGTATTATATAAAGAACAAGTATATATTCAGTTTTGTTAAAGCTTTATTTTAAAATGAAAAAAAAATATGTACATGTATAAATTTTTTTCTATTTAAAACGCAGCCTCGAAATACGTAAAAAAAATACCATGGAAATATTTACCTTCTATATATCAATATATTTACAAATGCGAAAAAGATAGTGGGACGATGTTTATTTCCTTTCTTTTTTTTTTCTTATTTCCTCCATTACTGCTGCAGTGTAAATTAATATTTAAAATTGAAACCGAGACATAGCATACAAGACTATGATCAAAAAAATAACATACATGTAATAAAACATTTAAACTTCTCTAATAAATAGAAACTCATTGATACTTCAATTGATATAATAATAAATAAATTACATTCTGTAATAACGGAAATAAAATTGTAAAATTAGCAGCCAATCACGGACCAAACTAACAGGCTCCGCCCACTTCATTTGCATACCGTTTCCCAAAGCGTACCGTCCACAAAGCGTACCGTTCCGTGCAAAAGCGAACCGTACCGTCCACAAAGCGTACCGTTCCGTGCATGAAGCGAACCGATCCCACAAAGCGTACCGTTCCGTGCACAAAGCGTACCGTTCCGTGCACAAAGCGAACCGTTCCGTGCACAAAGCGTACCGTACCGTTCACAAAGCGAACCGTTCCGTTCACAAAGCGTACCGAACCTCCCGTCTGGGTAGTACACGGTTTAGGGTCTGTACAATTTTCCAGAGATAGATTCTTTTTTTCAGCAGATGAAGATAATTTGAGATATGGATCTGGTGAAATAATTTGTGCAAGACGGATAAAAAAATAGAATTTTTCACATTTAAATTTTAAAAATTATTTTCAGTATAAAAGAAAACATATACACGTGCAATTGATTCTTTTTTTTTTTAAAACTTTATCGGTTACTTCATTGCTTTAAGAATTTTTTGTATTAAATATTGAATTAAAATTTATTGATTTTTATAATGCTGCACAGAAAGGGTATTTTTCATTACAAAATCCCAAATTTTCCCCCTTCATTTTTTTTACAAAGTCATTTGGGTGAGAAAGTATAAACTGAGGTGTTGCAGTAGGTTCTGGCACAAAAAAGATCCCTCCTTTCTCAATGGCCCTGAATGCTGGGATAGGATAAAATTTGCAGATATACACCGGGAAGTGGTGGCGTTCCATAGGAGTGAAAAATTCTCGAGAGATGCATTAAACAATATACAACCAATCGTTTTTACTGAGAGCAGTTTGAAATTTTATATTCAAAAACACAAAAAGATATTGTTAAAATTCCAAATCCGTTAAATTATACATGCAGTAAAATGTAATAAATCGCAAACAATAATTCAATTATTATTTTATAAAGGGAAAAAAAAGCTGCAATAATTAACAAAAAAATATACACGTCTAATAAATTGAAAATTTAAATTTTCCCTTTTTGGCGTCTTATTCCCCTATAAAGAGAGTAAACATTTACTATTCACAAGGGATGTTTGTAAAACACATGCCCTACCCTTCCCCAATTCAAATAATTGGATGTTTTAAAGTCTAATGGGCATACCTCTGTCAAAAATAGCTCTATCGTACCCAAAACTGAACTTGACCTTAAAATAAAGAACTTTATTTGGTAATCCAATATTTGCCCCCCCCCCCTCCCCCAAATCAAACTTTGACGGAGAAATATATAATTATGTTCTGAAACAGAGAAATATATGCTTACTTCGAAACACTGAATATTTTCATTAGCAATGACGTTATATTTTTGAAATGACGTCACGAAAATTACGTAAATTTAAAATTTCCATGATTTGTACAGAAAAATGTTTATTTATGTCAATATTTTGAAAAACACCGAGCGCAGATCTGATCAGTCTCAATATTTTGATATTATGTGTAGAAAGAACTATCAATGAAATATGTAAGTATTGTTCCTGAGCAAAATGGCTCTTTGACTATAAATTTTAACGCTAAAATTGTTGAAATTTTGTCTATTTTTCCTCATCTAAAAAATGACATAAAATCGAACTAGTTTGTGACTTCATATAAACAAAAAAAATTGTCAATAAACTACTTTGAAACTATAATATGATCTGTTAATTTATATTTCTCATACAATTTATAAAATTCAGCACATTTTAAGAATTTTTCAAAATTTAATTTTGTGGGGGGAAAAATATGCAATATACGGCATTTAGTTCTTTGTTTACAAAATTTCATTTTAATATGTGCAACCTCTGCAAATAAATGAAATAAAATTGTAATAAATTGTCAATTGATAAGTCGGTTTTTAGAGTTTAGAATTTATTGTAAATCCAAAAATATGAATTTCACAAATATAAATTAGAACAAATTTCGTAGATGGAACAAACTGAATTTTACAAAGAATTTCTTAAGATAGACTCACTTACAAACTCAATCACATCTAATCTTTGACAAACCCCCCACATTCGTACTGACCAGCCAATTAAATTAAAGATAGAAAGTTGCATGAACAGGGAAAAACTGTATGATGTAATTTACAACACTGAAATTAGGTAGAGCTAAGCATAACAAATTCAAAGAACACGATCATAAGATCTAATCATAAATTTGAAAACAAGTATGAGTAAATGACATTGATATGTGAGACAGGAAAAAGATGTCAAAAATCAGATATTGCTAACATGTACAAAAATGCCTTTCTTAAACATCAAATGAAAACAATTAACTTTCAACTACAGATGTCAAACAAGACCCAAAAGAATAATCAATTATAAAAAGATATATTCAAAATTAATAATTTGTCATTTAAAAACCCTTATAACACATAATCATAGCAAAATAAATAAACGGAAACTGCAAATTATTATTTTTTTTAAGTCCAGAAAAAAAGGATATGGAGATAACGAACAGTATTCAACCCCAAAGTCCATTAAACAATATACAAAAAAAAGCAGAGCAAACACGTACCTCCAAACATCAGAGGTGGGATCAGGTGCCATGGAGGAGTAGCATCCCCCCGACCGGTCACACCCACAGTGTGCTGTTGCCATGATCAGGAAATAACGTAAAAAAATCCGTTATCAATTCGTTTAAATAAAGGACTAACAATTGGTATGAAAAACGTCAGTCAGCATTTGACTCAATGATAAATTGTATCTGCTGACAAGGATAATTAGTCCCCAATAGCAACAATATGTGCAACGTCTGCGAAGAAAATGAACGGAAATGGCAAATAAATGGAATTTTTATAAGTCCAAAGAGCATAACTCTGTCAAAAATGGCGCGATCGTACCCCAAACAGAACTCGACCTAGATATTTATCTGATATATCTGTATACTTGACTTCATTTCAATATGTGCAACCACGGCAAAGAAAATGAACGGAAACTGCAAATAATTTCGAATTTTTCTTAGTCCAAGGGGCATAACTCTGACAAAAATGGTGCGATCGTACCCCAAACAAAACTTGACCTAGATATTTACCTGATAAACCTGTATACTAAATTTCATTTCAGTATGTGCAACGGATGTGAAGAAAATGAACGGAAACTAAATGGACCGACAGACCGACGGACAGCAGCAGAGCAATATGCCCTCCCTTCTTCGAAGGGGGGCGTAATAATAATATGACTCTTCTAAGCTAAGAAGATATAAATGATTGAATTCATTAGAAAAAAATATTTTTAATAAAATCCTATGGGAAGAAATTTCAGTCCGCATATCCAGCAGACTGTACAACGATCCATCTTGGAACATTCATTCTGATGTATTTTATGGTACATCACTTTTGTGGTAACCGACTAATGAGGTAACTGCATCAAAACTTGTGTATTACATGTAGTTTTGTCGTTAGTCAACTTATTAAAAAACAATTTATTGATGTAACGTTACTTGACGATGTGACGTCAAATCGTAAATGTTGACGCATCGTGTACGTAATAAAAAGCTGACATTGTCTAAAACAAAAAACCTACAAAACGTATGCAAATTCAAAGAAAAAAATCTCCCATTATAATAAACGAAACCCTGTTTTACCGTCAGACCCCCCCCCTTCCCATGAAAGAGGGATATGGAGATAACGAACAGTATTCAATCTCAAAGTCCATTAAACAAATAATGAATATACAAAATAAGAACAGAGCAAACACGGACTCCGAAACATCAGAGGTGGGATCAGGTGCCATGGAGGAGTGAGCATCCCCTGCTGACCGGACACACCCGCCATGTGCTCGTGAAACTACTTTAATACTGTAGAATGCACTATTGCTCATAAGAAGCATGGACTTTTTTCTTTCCTTTATCAACAAGAAGCAGAGAAGAAGGTTTTTACAGAAAGAAATACTGCATTTACCAACATTTCATTAAATGAGCATCACATATTAAATTTAGTCTTAGGAGGGGATACAATAACTTCCGGTTAGATATAAAGTGATTGAAATTAAAAAAAAAGACCTCCGAGCATAAGGAAGTGTCCGGTTTAATAGCATATTTCAGGCCTTATAAGCATTTTACAATAAAGAAGTCTGGAAGAATATTTTTGATACATGTACGACATAACTCCAAAATGAGTTAAGATTTATTTAATCGACTAGATCTAAGCAGGTTTTAATTTGCAACTGTTAAAAAAATTACCCGACATCTTTCTGTTTTACAAAAGATATGTTTTCATCTCCCGAGTCTTCCTTTTTCTTTTCTTGCATTATACTGGGTGTACTTGGGTGTTCTAGTTTGTAGCATTCATTGTCTAGAAATCAAAAATAAAATCTCTTTTTTAAAATACTTTTCAAAATAAATACATGTACGTGCATCTATGGTAGTACTACTTCATTTTATATTCCCTAGATCTTTACTCTGCCAGTAATCAATGCTTTACAATTAAGATTAAGTCAAAGATTAAGCAATTAGAAAAATTCTATCTGATTTCATGGAATTCTGGTACTTACATTTGTAACTTTCAGAGGACTTGTATTTGAATGGACACGCAGTGCATATATTCTCTAAATGCTCTTGGAGAAATTGTCCTCCAGTCGTATATTCAGTGCAGCGCCTACCTAAAAATGGATTAAATATTATAAAAATGTCCAACAGAAAGTTCCTGTTAGGTTTGAGTTTTCATTGGACAACAAAAATAAACAATACAAAGTAAAACAATAGGTGAAATTCACCTTGAATGTTGAGTGTTGGTGGGGAGAAAACGTTTTTTTTATGATATCTTGATTATCATTAACTTAGAAATCATTCATCCGTGTTATAAAATAGAAATGTTTTCTTACCAATTATTACAACTTCTGGTGCACATAGTTCAATGTATCCATCACCTTTAGAATTTAATACACAATGGTATTTATATAGTTTAGCCGTTGTGCAATTTTGCTTTTGCTCTTCGCATTTGAATAATTTAGATCTGTTTTCCAATTCTTTTCTGTCTTGAGGACATCTTGTAATATTGAATGAAGCGGTATTTCTTGATTGTAGACATGGAGATTTCTAAAATTTAAATCATTTTTCTTTATCATGTTTTAGATTGTATTTTAATTACAAGTATAATATTAAATTTTACTTTTGTACATGTATATTATTCAATTCACTTTATTGACAATTACCATGTCGGCATACAGTCATGAACATGAATAACATAACATAAATTAACACAATTAATACAAGCATATACAAAGTGAGAAATATGAGGTGAACAAAATTGTGTATTTCTCAATATTGATATTCATTTTTGACTTTCTTTTCTGATGTCAAAGCACTTTTTCAAGAAACAACATATCCTTCTAGCAGTTGAAATATTTGTAGGATTGACAATTTTTCTAATGGGGTTATCACTAGTATATGTGTTTACATTAAATATATCATTATAATTGCATCTATATTGATCATACTTTGGACAATACAGAACAAAATGTTTTTCGTCTTCAACAAACAATTTACATGAGTAACATAAACGTTTTTCTCTAGGAATAGGGGGTTTACAGTATCTACCCGTTTCAATATATAGTGGATGGGCACTGATCCTTAATTTTGTTAATAAAGATCTACAACTTTTCTTCAGGGGTAGTTTTAAATAACTTTGCAATTTGTATTCATCTTGATTCACAATTTTGCTATAAAATGCTAACTTTCCAGAGTCTGATTTGCTAACTTTTTCCAGTTGTTCATATATCTTGTTTTGGTAATGCTCTTGTAATTTGTTTTTCAAAGTTATGTGAGATATTTCCAAAGAACTAATATTTAATTTTTGTAGTAATGAAGACAGTTTCTTTTGCCAAGATATTTTAGATACAAGATTTTTGTCTTCTTTAAATGCAGATATCACTAAATAATTGTTATAATCGTGGTTGCATTCCATTTCCTTCAGTCTCATATAATATTTTAACATATATTCATAACATAAATAGTACAAAGGAAAACGACCCAACTCACATAAAACAGCAAGATTTGATGCCTTTCTGTGTACCCCTAGTATATCTTTAAATATCAAGTGCTGTGTTTTTTCAAAAGGAAACTGGTCTGAAGACATTAAATCACATTTAAAGTCAGTTATCCATATTTCAGATCCATATGTTATAATTGGTATTATCATTGACTGATATAATTTCAACATAATTTCAGCAGAAAAATTAACATTTGCAGGAAAATTTGATTTAATAGCGTAATATGCTTTTCTAGCACGTTCTGATAGCTGTTCAGCAGCAAATTTCATTTTCCCATCAGACAAGTTGGATTCTGATTATTTTTTTAAATTTCCAATAGGTGTGTGATTTAAAGATCATAAAATGAACTTTTACTAGTAACTATATACATGCACTGTAATATTTTCAAAATAATCAAATTATATTGTTAAAAAGGATACAATTATGAAAGCAAAACGAATCCTTACCCTTCCTCCATCAGAACTTTTGATTAAAGAGCAGATAAAAAGTACTAAGAATAATTGGAACTCTTTCAATGGCATTCTTTTTATTCCTTGGTCTGTTGTGCATTTTATACCGAAGAGTCATACATGCCCATCTTTGACTGATAAAAACAAGGAAAAAAAATAAAACAATTTATTACATGTATCTGCGAATGTTGAGGAGGGATAGGGGAAGGCGGACTTGCAAACACATAGATTTCATTGTAGTTTAATGGTGACTCAATTCTCTAAAATTGATAACTAAACCTTACAATATGCAGTAAGATATCTTTTTGATACATGTCAAAGAAATTGCGAAACAAATACAAAAATGTAGTCAACACAAGATTCTGATATGTGTTGCTTTCTTCAACTGAAGTAACTTCTGACGTTCGTATGCTTTGATATTCATTGTTATCTCTGGAAATTTTAAATTTCCTGATATTCATTTACGTTCTCTGAAATTAATGTTTTCAGTGTCGTTTTTTAGAACATTTCTTGCTTGTTTTGAAGTTTCGTACAATCTTTCGCCTACAAAAATTGTTAAATAAAAAAAAAAAAACAAAAGTAATGGTATCAACAATAACGATATGATCGTGGTAATTTATTGAATAGAATATGAAGCACATTTTATCAGAAAGTATTTAATACCTATGGAATGTGTATTTATTTCTCAGAGATTATCCTAGTGGTTGCCTCATGAATAAAAACTTATCGAAAACCGATAAATTTGTACTATTTAGGTACAAGTAGTAAACAAAACACCAAACTATAACTATAGCCCAAAAACACATTATATTCCCAATGATAACCTTTGCAATATCATAAACAACATTTTCCCCCTTCTCATCTCAAGCAAACTAATTCACAGAATATGATTCTCCCCCTTAGGAAAAAAACTGCGCGGATCTGCAAAGGGGTATGGGGTTATGGTGGGGTTTTGAAAAAAAATAAAAATCAGATAGGGAACCCTTTTTTGGGCCCTTGTTTTCCAAACGGAAATGTTGAAACGATAAATTTGGAATTTATGTCCTTGATCATCAATCTAATAAAATATGGCTTTTCCTGAGGCCAGAAGGAGTTGTTAGAAACTTTGCTTGCAAAATCTAAAAAGCTTATTGAAATATCCACGGAAACAAAAGTGTTTCAGACCAAAGACAGACGAACAAAAATATTGAAATTCGCAATTTTCATGAAAACGGGGGACGATAAATATAAATCTCATATATATGTACAAGTGTTTATTTTATAAATATAATAAATTTCAAATACTTAAATAGTTTTTTGTAAATACCGTATTAAAAAAAACACACAGCAAAGATGATGAAAACTGTTGAAACAACAACAATCACAACAGAAGTAAGAGGGGATCCTGAATCGCCACTTGATGCTATCTCCCCATGTTTCCATGAGCTTTTTTCTGTGTTGCTCCCAAATAAATTTTTTCCGACACAGTAACGATTCAAATTCAACGCTTGCGACACAGTAAAATTTTGCCGACACAGTGAGATCTGTGATAATTAGAAAACCGAATCTAAACATTATTAAATTCTCTCAACTTAGTGAGATTTTAATAAAAAAAAATTCTACCGTATTTAACAAAAGGTGGAGCACTTAATTACTAGGGCTTATACGAAAGCCCAGGAGGCTATTCGAGATTCGAAAAACAATTCGAAATTCGAGATTCGAAATTCGAGTTTCGAATTCAATATCCAAAATAACCAATCAAAAGGCGATTTGAGATTCAATTACTCCCCCTTTTTTATTTTTTCTTTAAGAAATCGTAGAGTATTTTAATACCGAGGAGGTCATTTGATTAAATTAAACCAAGAAAAAGTGTTATATTTTTTCAAAACGAAATTTAAAGAAATATTGGATTTTGGTATGCAAGATATGCTTAATTAATTTATAATAGCTTCTTAAATGTCATAAAAGATTTATATAAAGAATATATATGTTTCGTGTTATCTACTTTGGGCACAGGGTTGTTACATAATATTAAACTTAGATTTACAGTACATACACCCCCCCCTTTTTTCCAAACATAATTTTTTTACTATTGTAAAGTCTTCCAAACCCCCCCCCCCCAAATTTTTGGGACAGTGGTGCAGTATAGTCAAAGAAGTTTAAATAGTAGTGTATTAAAAGAAATTAGGTACTAAAAAATTTAAACCCCCCCCCCCCCCTTTACACCCCGAAATAGGATTTTGGGTTTTTGGGAAAAATTTTTTTTGTCAGTTTCTATTTTCAGGTTTGAAATAATATTTTTTTCTGCCCCTCCCCCCCACCCCACTTTCAAAATCGATGCTTCGTCTTTGTAATAATTAGTACTAGGGGTTTAAAGGTGGATAGTGTTTGTGACACGGTATTAGAAAGTGGCCAGTGACCGAGTTTATGAAACCAATAACAGCCCCTTAAATACGGATGGCTAAAACATCATGCTTTATAAAGATAATGACCCATTGGGAATAATAAATTTTTAAAAAATCATTTTTAATCAACCAATTCCCACCCCAACCTCGAAAATTAGGGGTTATCATGGTAATTGGAATTATTTTGAATGGACATAAGCATAAAGTTACTGTTTTTTTTATATATATTTAAAATTTGGGAAAAAAATTTTGGGAACGCGGGGGGGACAAATGTGTTGTTATTAACACATTGTCAAACTTGCGATGCATGGATACAATAAATATATATTCGATAATTATTGAAAAGGAAACCGCTGGGTCTCGCCCAAATTGGTCAAAGACTCAAATATACTAGTAAAACCATAATGCTCATTTCATTGGGGAGGGGGGGGGCACAGCCATACGTTTTTAGTTTTCAACTACCAAAAATTTCCTGACAACCAAAAACAAAGCAAAAAAAATCATCAGATGTTTTATTGAGGGGGCACAAAATTGAGGGGGCACAAGCTATGATTATGTTTCTATAGTATTTTATATATCGGGAAAATTTGGGGGGGGGGGGACAATGTAAAGAAATGTACCCTCATTGTATTTCATATAAGTAATAATTTTTTCCCTCATCAATGTTCTTATTTTGAAAAATGACACCTAAGAATTCCGCAATTCAACTATAAGACCATATAATATTCTATATACGTATATCTATTGTTTTGTTTAATAAGAAAAATAAAATTTAAATATATTTTCTAAAATGCAACCTAAAATTCCTTTTTATTTCGTTTTTTACATATATCTTTTTTTCTTGCATTATCATTTTAAACAAATGACCATTTGATATGAATATATTCAATGATTTCTTGATAGTAAAACATAATAAAAGGGGGGTAATCAAAGTTGAACCTGCCTTTTGATTGGTTAATTTGGATCGACCGAAACCAATTTTTAAC